AACCCAATAGATCATATTTTGAAATGAGATCGTATTTGGACAGTAGCAAGCTTTTTCGTCAACATTTTGAGTATTGTCTTAGAAGTGTGAATATAAGAGATGCCATAATAGTTTGGCTACGAGTTTTGGTGTTATTGGTTGGTTTGTTTGTTTTTTTTTTTCCCATGGTGGGGGGTGAAGCAGAGAGAGCCTTTTTGTTTGGTGCAGTTACTGTGGTAAGTAGACAAGACTTAAATTGGCATCTAGAATAAAACAAATCATGGCTGTGGACAGGTTATTTGGTCATGAGTGCAGAGAATGTGTCTGACTAAACCCAGAGTGGCATTATTTCAAGGGATATGAAACAGTATGTAATATGTATGGTTCCCAATTAATCACAATATTAAAGCATTTGAAATTGAAACAGCTGACTGTCTTACAGTATCATATCTGCTGATGCTGAACCTACTTTCATACTGAAATGGAAAGATAAAAATGCAGAAGCTCATATACTGACTGTAACAACATCTTAATTCATAGTGGCACTGATAATCCAGTTCACAGGAAAGTCAGAGTTACACAGTGAATATCCTTTTGCTTTCCTTAGTTTTGCTCTGCATTTGCTTATATCTAATTTACTTTGCTGTCTTGTTAATTAATTGTCTTTAAAATGGAATGAAGTGATGCCTTTTGTTCAACTAATTCCAGCTTATCATCTTACTGTAATCAGACAATGGGATAATCCTGCACAATTAGAAAACATTAATTTATGTCCTCATGGAGCAGTAATGTTGGTAGGGGTAGGTGACTTGGAGAACTCTGACCTTTGAAGGGACCATAGGTTTGTTACGTAATATGAGTAATGTTTTGAGATGCACTGATTTTTGTAACATTTGAGGGAATTCGTTACAAGTTTTTTTCTTGTGTCTGTTTATTCTTGTGGTTCAGACTGAGTGAAATAACTGAATTTTTAGTGGTGTATCATGTTTTCATATGTTCCAAAGCTAAATGTACCCATAATCTTCCAAATGAGAAAATGTATTTATCAAAACAAATAATTGCGAATGATAGACTAAATACTTTGCATTTACTTTTTAATGTATTATCCAGAAATGAAACTTCTGTATTTAATGGAAACCTGACTGTATTTTAAGGCATTTTGTAGAAACCTTTTTGCCTTCAAATGTGTGCACGTAACCCCGTGTCTCTTTAGCAAGATATGTACATGCATTACAGATAGGAGAATATCTCTAAAATCCCCAGGGTTTAACTAAGGACTTAAATATTTCAACACATCTGGCTCATTTAGAGCTAATGCATTGAAGGGTGATTCATAATGGCTAGACTGCTGGGAGTTCTGCAAGCTTGAGGTACACCCGCAGGTAATCAAGCTTTGCAGCTAATTGTTCCTTCAAAGTTATTTTAGCTGTATGTGTTGTACCTGAAAGATGCACTTGAGAAAGTAGATTGTATGAAACTGGCTGGTTTCATGCAAGTTCCCACCTTGCTAGATTTTCAGTCTGGTGGAAAGTGAGACATTCAAGGTGAAGAAAACAATATTGTGTTAGGTGAATAATCACTGCTGCTCTAATGGTGGTTGTGGCAGAACTATGAATGTTGATGTAAGAAATTCTCCAAGTGTGCAAATTGTTCTCTACACATGGATGTATTGATGTATCTTAGTAAATGTACTTATCTTATAGCCATAATCAAATAAATAGTAATTTTTAGTTACTTTAAGAAAAAAAAAGGTAGAATTGGCAGTTGCCTTTAAAGAGAATTCCTTTTTTCAGCATGCAGTCTACCAGT